TCCACACAGGCTGTCCAAAACATTGTTTGAAAGCCAAGTCAGCGCCAACAAAGGCTCCTTTGGGGCACGACTTGCCATTGTTCTTGTTCTTGAATTCAAGAAGGAGCGGAGCAACGGTGAAGTTTGTGAGTTTACAGACAGGGAAGCCATCCCTCAAAGTCTTGGCATAGGCATGAGGGGCGGCTACAGTTCCTTTGGGCAGATCGAGGCAAAAGCCCCGAAAGTTACCATCCACAGCAAGTTCAAAGACAGAACAAGCTTTGCCTTCGCCAACGCTCCAGGTAAGGAGTTGCAGTGTTGCAAAAACTTTGAAAGTCTTGAACAGACAGATATCGTTTCGTCTTCAGCGGAACATCCAAAGACACATTGCTTCTCCATGGAAATCGTGCAATATCTGCGTCCCATGGCCACGTTGGGCACAGTTGTCTTGGACCTTGGGAGGATCAGGCTCAGAAAAGGGTTCAGGCGCGTGCAACAGTCAAAGAGTCTGTGTGAATAATGAGCGGTTTCGTGGCCTGTCCAAAAGTGACCCAAACCGCCCATAGCTCAGCTGCAAAGCTAGAGGCCAGTGGTAAACTGGACCAACCTGACACACCGTGTGATCTTAAACTGGCGGCTGTGTGGATAACTGAACTGATCCATCGCTCCACATGTGGCAAATGTCATCAATATGCTGTGACCAATCTGACACCATGACGTCACATGTCTGGGAAACTCTCAGTTTGGTACGAGCAGTCACAAGGAATCTCGACCAAGCGTCGCAAAATTTGGTCCAAAAAAACATGGGGTGTAAGGACGCTTGAGTTCATTTGGCAGTGACTGAGATTCAAATGCAAAGCGATGCAGCGACTCATTTTCTTGCCCACAAAAACGTCAATGTGAGGTTTGTTGGAGACCTGCTGCAAATAGTTCGTCACCGGTCATCGCGCATCCAATAATTGCAAATCGCGTCTTGCCGCAGTCAAGTAGCAGGAGTGTGAGACCAAACTTTTGAGGACACACTTCAGGTCGCCCGTGGCAATGCTCAAGAAGCAAATGGGCTGGCGTTCGAAATTTGAGAATTCAAAAACATCATTCTATTCAATGCGAAGGATGGTGCATGCCTGAGAAAACTAGGCCATCAGTGCTTGCGGTGTAAGCTGATCTCGTTCATACATTTCTTTCCAACATTGGCGCGCAGAGGCAGTCTTCAAACGACGGGCAGTCTCAATGATGGTGGTAAATGCGCGGCGCAAAAACGGTTCCAACCTATAAAAGGCCTGGTGCACAATGCCTAAGGATGGTTTTACACTGCCAATGTGGGCGGTCTTGCCAGAGAGCGTCCGCGAATGCTGCTTGTATGCGTTTCAACTTCTTCTTGGCGATGAAGTTCAGTTGAGGAGCAAATGCTATTTGAGGGACAACTTTCGTTGCCAGAATCTGGGCCCGTTTTTTGCTGTCACACGGCAATGAACGTAGCAGAACAATCCCGAAGTGCAGTTTGATATGGTGCTAACAGAAACTGCCCAGCGTGCCTTTTGGTCGTTTGGATGAAGGCGCCCAACAGTGTTCACAACTTGTAGCACTTTCAAAGTGGGAAAGGCGGCTTTCAATGCAGATCTTAAATCCGATGAAGTTGCGAATATCTCACGCTTGGCGTTGAGGAACTGCCTTGTGTGACTTGTACTGCAGTGATCAAGGAAGCGACAGCGGCTTTTCGAGTCCACAAGTAAGTGTCGTCTATGGGGGCGTGGAACTGTATGCCATCAATTTGCATCATCGTCCAGTCCAGGCCCAATTAAAGTTGTTCTTGCTGTTTTTCCTCTGTGATTGAATTTGTCTCTTCCAACCAAACACGTTGTTTTTTCCTTTTGGTGGTATCAAGGTCTGACAAGGACACCGACATTGATTGGTTGGCGGAAATGTGGGGTTGCTTTGAGGCGTTGTTAGTTGTTACTTAACACGGGTAATTCTAAAGGACTCTTTCGCGGAACGCAGGAAATTGTTCACTTCACTTCACTTCATCATGGTCCCAGGGTGTTTCTATAACAGCGCTAGAAACACCATGGGGTTGGTGTTGGGTTTGTACATTACCCCTTCTTGAAGCAAGACAGCTGCTTTTCTTTTCTTGCCACGTGCACCCTGTTCTATTGGGTTGGAAGCCATCGCTACTAGTACTAGTGTGGAGGCCATCGCTTGTAGGTTGGAGGCCATCGCTACTAGTACTACCGTGGAGGCCATCGCTTGTAGGTTGGAGGCCATCGCTACTAGTGTGGAGGCCATCGCTCTTCGGCTTGTCGTTGGTCTATATTTTATTGCGCGTTTTGCTGCAGGTTTCATGTGATATCGCCTAATCAGAGTCTTGTAGCTTTGCTTTGACCGCATCCCATCCTATCATTCACTGCAAACATACTCCTCCTGCGCTTGCCTAATTTTGCAGAATCACGCGCGAGATGGAAAACCGACACTGATCGGCGATACAGCAGCTACGTGGTCGCATGTTTTCCTTGGAAAGGGAGTCTTCGTCCGTCAACAATTCTTTGTCAAGCCTGCTTGGAACACAATCCAGCTATTTGACTCATGTGAAAGCAAGATCTCAGCAACCTTTGAGATTCTGGACAAGACAGTGTAGAAACGCCAACCAAAGAGCCACCACTATTGCATCCCAGTTCAATGTTTCGACAAAGAGGCCAAGCAAGTTCCGCGCAGCTTCCGCAAAGTTTATGCGATGTGTTTGAAACGTTCATGCATTTGTGTGAACTTGAACTGGAAACAAGTAAAGTTCAATGGACAGTTGTTTAAAAACACACATGATGTTGGAAATACGATGAACAAATGTGTTTTATATTTGTGGACACTTTTGTGTTTTGGCATGCCTTTGCCGTCTCAAGCGCATGTGTGAGTTCAAGCCGGCCACCGAGTGCCGACAAACTGGCATGTTTAAGCTGTTGCTGGTCAACTTGTCTCAAGATGCCCCCACAGTCCCTCGGAATATATAGCTTTGGCATTTGCCAGAGGCGTGGTTTTGTTGCATGTGGCTTCCAAAGAAATCCCTCTAAGCTGAGCGTATGAGTGAAGTCATCAACACCTGAATGAATACCAACCGTGATAGCAATCGGAATTGAGGCCTGATCTTACCCGTCAAGGTCGCCTACCCAACAGCAGCGAATCTGGTTCCACTCTCAGGTTGCCCGCTTTGTGCCAGTTGGGGGCCATTGCTTCTAGTTGGATGCCGCAAGTATGTTGGAGGCCATCGCTAGGGTGGAGGACATCTCTTAGGTTGCTCCTAGTAGCGATGCCCTTTGCTCTCAGTAGCTTCTTGCTCCTAGTAGTAAGGCCAGGAGCCCCTAGCAGCTTCTTGCTCCTAGTAGCGATGCCCTTTGCTC